ATCTATCTATCTATCTATCTATCTATCTATCTATCTATCTATCTATCTACTTTTTGAGACTTGTTAAGTTTCCCAGACTGGCTCTGAACTTGTGATTCTCTTGCCTCAGATTCTCCAGCAGCTTGGATTATGGACATGTAGCATTAAGCCCTGGTTTTACTTTTTCAAACTTGTAGGGAATTGTTGGTTGATTGTTTTGCTTCTGTTATTAACTCCAGGTTCTCTATTCAGTATATGGCTGGGTTCAGTTTGACTACTTTGTTTTACTATTACTCGGGCTCATTTTATTGGCAAGAGAAAATTATTTGTGGTGTACATAATGTCTTGATTCATGTATTCATCTTAGGATTACATAACCAAGCTCTGTAATGTATGTGTCACCTCACACATGTGGTGAGAATGCCTAATATCTAATTCCTGCAGTTTGTAAGTCTACAGAACTTTTTATGCTTAACTCTGATCATAGAGCTTTTTGTTTCTATCACAGGGAAACTCACGGCACACCTTTCAGCTTAAGTCCCAGTCATCTGGAGTCAAAGCATGTCTATTGTATTCATGAGGAAAAGCCCGAGACTGGGAAGCAAATGGTAGTCAGTCAGGAAGACTGGAATATCCATTGCTGTGATTTTGAGAGTGTTCAACCCTCTGTCATCAGTGATACAGTTGTTAGATTTTTAAATGATGGACCAGCAATTGATGCATTGCACAGTTCTGAATGTTTAATGAAAATGGGAGTACATGTAAGAACTGAGGAAGAAATGCCTAACAGAACAAAAGGAAGTGAGAACAATTCAAAGCCTTCTCTTGGTATGGAACATGATGTTGATCCAAAAGTGTTGCTGCTGTCTGACTCTTCTCCATCCTCTACTAGTGCCTGTAATTCCCAAAGATTAGATATTTCGAAGCGGCAACAGCATGATGTTAAACTGGAAAAACTTAAAGAGCGGATTAGGAAACAGTGGGAACACTCAGAAGAAATAAATGGCCAGGCCCAGACTCTAGGTCATATTGACCATCCAGTAATGGTTGTTAATGTTGACAACTCCGTGACAACAAAAGTCAGGAAAGTGGCAACAGCACCACCTGCTCCAGCATACAAAGGTTGGTACCGATCTGTATGCTTTTCTCTGTCTTCATGTCCTCTGGTTCCCCTGGGATGTACAGAACAGCTGAGTACCAAATTAGCTGCATATGAAAAAAATGTACATGTTAAAAATGACAATTCTAGACCTGAGTCAGAATTTCTGGGGATGAGTTCCAGAATGAGATTTGTTTGTTTGTTTGTTTGTTTGTTTGTGAGACAGGCTCTCACTGGTAGCCCTGGATGACTTGGAATTCACTCTGTGAACAGGCTGGCCTGGAACTCTCAGAGGTCTCTCTGCCTCTGCCTCCTGAGTGCTGGAATTAGACCAGAATAAGAATTTCTCTTTAGAGGATCTTCCCTCCTCCTGCCACCCTCCTCTTTGCTCCTCCTCTCTTCTTTTTGCAATAGAATTTACTCTATATGTCAGACTGGCCTCAAACTCAGAGCAATCTGGGGTGAGAGGCTTGAGCCACTGTGCTTAGCTCCTTAGGGATTCTTAGACTACAAAATAGGAAATAGGATTAGTACCATTTTCTGACAACCAAAAGGATATAGTTTGGAATTCATAAGACTTGCTTAACAGTAATATCTGTAGTGGTGCATGCTTGTAAGCTCATCTGCTCTGGAGGATGAGGGAGGGAGAATGTCTAGGTTAAGGCCTGCCCAAACTGCAGAGTTCCAGCTAGCCTGACTGTACAGCAAGTCCCTGTCTCCAAATAGAAAGTTCTAAAAAGGGACAGGGATGTAGCTCAGTAGTAGATAGCTTGTCCAGCATACGAGAGAGAGAGAGAGAGAGAGAGAGAGAGAGAGAGAGAGAGAGAGAG